TAGATTTTGTATTCCATTTACTATATTTCCATTAAAAATTATCAAAATTAGGCTGTTTTTCCGGGCGATTATTAATTACTCCTTAATAACTATAATAGTCCTTAATAATTATGCGAATCATGAACAAAGAAAGTTACGAACGTTATTAGGAGCGCTCTGGACATTCCTGCATTTGACTTCGCTTGGCGTTAATGCATGGTTGATTGTTACCAGACTGCCAAGACTAAGAAGGTAGATTAAGTTTCTTTAAGCTGCTTTACGCGCGATCTAATTGTTGCGTTTCAACAGATCTATTTGAGATGATCTCCTTAGTAATTATGCACTGCAGATTAAATTCTTAACGAGCAAACATCTCAACTGAAAATTGCTTCAAGAATAAAATTACAATTAGTGCTCAACGGCGTGAGGACTTATCCTAAAATCTGGCTTTATAATTTTTAATTTAATGATTAAACTTAATTTAATTCGATATCAAATTGAATTATAAGACAAGCAACTAAGAACTAATTCTTTTACGAAATCATTTCGCTTGCTAACGTATTTCGAGACATCTACGAAGCTTCGTATACACTCCAAAAAATTATCTTGCAACTGCAGCAACAATTTTCTAGGTACGAAAAAACAACTGAGATATATAAATAAATAACCAATACTGCGAAATCGCATATGTTTTGTATTTAATCAATTTAAAGAATAGAAACAGAATTTCTATCTAAACTGTTAGAAAGAAAGTCTTTCTGCGACGCCCATCCATTATAACGTTTGATTGCGATACATAAATAGTTGTATTCCTGAAGGCCTGTGTCCACGATGGACTTGGTCCAAGTTCTAGCTTGGAGAAATGTGTAGCCAATCAACTTGCAGCTTTTATGGAATAGATTACACATTTCTCGGAACTAGGTAGTCAATTTTGTATCTTACACTATAGTGAAAATGCTAAAAGTGAATAGCCTTGTCCCTTTCCAACTGTCCACTTAAAAAGAGACATAGCTGCTCACTTTTAGCATTTTCACTATGTTGCAAGATACAGAATTAGCCCCTAAAACTTGAACCAAGTTTTGGCATCGTGGACACAGGCCTTTACGAAGATTCTTCTAGCTATACAAGGTGTCCCAGGAGGAAAGGTCAATGCTCTGGGAGATGATAGTATCGATCATTTTAAGCAAAAATGTTCATATGAATATCTGTCCCATTCCCCACTATTTCCGAGATAGAGCTACTTGAATGTCTCGTGTATTTCCTTTTTTCTGTATACTTCATTCTTCATCCAACCTCATAAACGTCTGCGGAAATTTAGAAATTATATGAACATTTTTGCTTAAAATGACCGATACTATCACCTCCCAGAATATTGACCTTTCCTCCTGGAACACCCTGTATATGGTACCAAAATTTAGTTTAATCTAATGTGAATGATTAATATTTAGTCACAAAACCTACACTTTCCAAAAGGTATTACTAGAATGTCGCTATAAATTTTGTAGACTGCAAACAATTTTCTAACACAGAATAACGATAAATTTGTTGCGACGCCTAGAAATCTACCTGCGTTAGTAAAATATGTTTTGAGTGTATATGTAAGATTTTGTGCGATACTAAGAATTTTAATCGCAAATAAATGAACACGTCACGAAAGAGTTATTATTAATAATATCCCGCGATTAGTCAGACTTTCTTCTACGCGAATAAACTCCAAGTTTTCACACGTAAATCAGACCCGAGAGGGGGCAAGTAATGGTTTTTCAATTTTATAGCCGGTCATAACGGGAAAGTGTTTGCGAAGTTGGCTCGATATAGCGAGCACTATAAATAAAAGAAGTATCTCCGTCTGCCAGTGGATTTATGAGCCTCGAGACTCGTGACGAAACTGGGTTGAATCGGATCCTGACACCGTGGAAACTTACTGTTTCATTTCGCAAAGTCGCCTTAATTACCGCATACTCTGCCCCTCTCCATTCCCATTCCCCGGAAAAAAGGCTGAACACGACGAATCTTCGTGCGCGTTTTATGCAGCTCCAGCTCTTCTTTTTAACTCGAGAGCTTTTCGCTACATAAAAGAATCGCGCGAAACAAGCGGTGATTTTAAGTTAATTCGCTCGCTTCGACTCATTGCCTTCTAAATGCCGGTATTAAGGATCAATCTTTGTATTAACGAAATAGAATTATATAGAGTGCTTCAGTTCTTTTAAGTGAAATCTCAACATCGCTGCAGATCTCCCCGAGAGAGGGGGGGGGGGAGAGAAAAAGACATCCGCGACGAGGGAACAATGAGAAAGTGAATAAAACGGTCTTGCAACTCAATTTTTCCACTAGAAGGCTTAAATAACATATTTTTCACAAATGATCGTTATCGGATTACGGTGCTTATTAGATAGGGTGACCTGAATACGTCCGGGAAAAGGGAATAAAATTGTACTCGAGACTCTTCCTTCATAGGTATCGCGGCATTGTCATCCTTGGACTAGCGCCAAGTAGCCAAGTGGCTGCCCATGGCGCCTGCTGTAATTACTTCACTTGCCCCGTGGTTCTTTCACGGAAATGCAACAACCGTGCCAGACGTTCGCCGGGGTTGGGTAATTAATCTTACCGCGCACATCCGACAGTGCCTCGCGATCGTCTCGGGATGTTCCGGGTAATCTCGTTTAAATCCCGCGGGACGACGACGTCGCGTCGGAACCTGAGACGAGGCATGCGAGGAAAAACGCTAAAGAAAATCCTTTCCACCGATCCTCTCGATTTCACAAGGATGACACGAGGCCGAAAAGGGATGGGGGAGGGGGGGGGCGAACATCAGGCGATGATTGTCGTGAGTTGCAACGTAAAGCTCTCGGATTAACGATGGATATTCAATTTCAAAGTATTCATGTTGTCGTCATTCGATCGCGAGACAGAGAGACCGAGGGAAGAAGAAAGAGAGAAAGAGGGGGGAGGGAGAAAAGCATAAAGATCGTTACGTGGGATGAATACGTCGCCCGACAATGAGCGAGATAAAAGAAGAGCACCCGCTCGCGACCGGAAGTACGGTTCCTTCCGGCAGTCTTCTACGACTTCGCATCAAGTCGAAAGAGCTCTTCTCAACTGATACGGAAGAATACAGCTGTACAATGATCAAATGTACGAAAGATTCGGATAATCGCGAGAGGCAAAATTGCGAACATCAATGTGAAATTATTAAAATTAATTAAATTTCTTTTTACATGCTCTTCGTGTAATCCTATCCTATAAATAGCCCTTTCCGATTTACGAATTTCTCCAATATATTTTTTTAATTCTCAGAATACCCTAAAATACTATCAGTGTCTCCAAAATTGTTTAAATAGAATATCAATCTAACCTTATTATATAACAAAAAAATATTGCGCTAGTTGTTGCACATATATTGTTTATGTATAACATCGTATGGCGTGCAATAATACTGCGGACTAACAATAAGTCGAAACTAGATGTACCAATTAAATATTGAAATTTTATCTCTGCGCGTTAGACAGTATTACTTTGAAATTATGTGATCTAAAATCTTGGCGCGAAATACGAGATGCTGCCTTAGCATAAAAGGGTTTTATTCGACAGCTGGAAATTTTGTACATTGCCAATTTTTTATACTTTGATAACGGAACCGTACATCGTATTACAAAGTACATTTCTCGCATTTTCATCGCAAGTTATCTGATCGTGCGCGGTGCTGAAACTACGTTCCCGTTGCCCGCGACGCTGGGTATACGTATAATATTTGCTATTTAAAGTAAAAAATTATTCATATTCATTTTTTCACAGTAACCTTTCTCTTTCCATTAAACACGTGGAATTGCACGAATCGATTGTGCCGCTATTTTACAAATATTCAACAAGCTAAATAAGTAGAAATTAACGAAATTATTAAAATATTAAATAAATTAAATAAAGGTGAATTATAACAATATTACAAGAATTATTGCAAACATTATTTACTTAATATAATATTTAAAAAACAATATTTTATAATAAAAGAAGTAGAAATTAGCAAAATTATTAAAGCATTAAATAAATTAGGTAAAAGTACTCGTAAATTATAACAAGATATTATTACAAGAATTATTTACTTGATGTAATATTTAATAATATTGTTATTTGAAAAACAATATTTTCATAAAAATCATTATTCTCGTTGTCGCAGACAAATTTCCATTGAGATTTAAAGTCTCATATTTTCAGCTTTTTTTCCTGAAACGTTTTATAAGATTGTACTTGCACGGTTTCTCCGTTATAATACAAGGAATCTAAGTATCTCTGCAGGATTGAAAAAATTAAGCTTACACGGAAAAATGCTGTTGAATTAAAAAGAAATGAAGTTGCTTGAATTAAACGTTAACGTAATGAGCTACCACAAACATAAATAATTCACTCAATTGTATTTGCTACGGATTTTAATTTTAAGCATTGAACTAAATATCCAGATTACTAAGAACTATCTGATGTTTTTCATTCATTAATACTCATGTTGTTTCAACGATTTTATTTCACTTACACTAATCTTGTTGATACAGCATCATTTTTTCTGTGTATAATTTACAAAAATTACTTAAAAACAAAGTGGGGGTTCCATATTACCATTCCTTCCTCCGAGAAGGAAACCGCTGAGAGCATTGTAGCGTACAAATTTGCGGCATTACTGGGCATTACTAGGCATTTTTTGGGAATTAGTTTGGGCCTTGCTGGGGCATTATAAAGATAAAATAAGATAAAACAAGATAAATAAGATAATAAGATAAAGAGTAATGCCCATTGGGCATTAGTGGGCATTGGTGTACACGATTTTGGTCAACGGTTTTTCCCTTCGCCTTCCTCTAGTCTTACTCAGACCGTAGTACGCGCTGTTCTCGTAGATTCGCGAACGTACGCGAACACAATCCTTTCCCAATACAATCGATGCTCGATTGATCCGATTGCGATTTACATACGATGGTAATAACCGCGACGCATAATCAACCGACACACAGCAGGAACAGTACAAGTAATCTCACCTCTCGACCGACATCGCGGTGAGGGTGACGACCGAGCAGATAGCCGACACACTCTGCATGTAATGCACCGCTTTGCATAGGAAGATACCCATGGTCCATGTGTAGGAGAACAATTTCGCTATCTGCAACAAAGCAATTACAGTACATGAATATTCGGGGGAGTGAGAACGGAAGGGGGAACTCCAGGGGACGAAACTTCCTCAGGTTCCAAGGCTGAAAACTTTTATTTATCAAAAAAAGCTTCTGCGCCACTCCACGTGCTATGTTCGTGTGATTATAGAGAAATCATGTAGATACGAAGTGACGGGGAGAGAACTCGCGATTTCTTGCCAATAAGAGGTCAGAATAAAAAATTAATTGCACCCACTTGGGATGCTGGAGTGGTTCTGCATTTTTTGCACTTTTCGCATCTAGAACTGTCAATTCATGAAAACATTTGCTGACCTATAACTTATTCGTGTGAATAGATTTTTTTGTTAAGCTTCTAAACTTAATTTCAATGATACCACACTGTGCTCTGACTGAATAGAATGAAAAATATTGAAGATTGGCTCATAAATGACATGTTGTTCGATGATTTATCAAATAAAAGCCACGATAAAGAGGAAGAAGTTCCGCTACGGTTTTAGCGAAAAGTTTGTTAAAAACAAGTTCCCAATATAAGATAGCGGGATTTCTGTTAAATTAACAAGTATCATTCCACCCAAGTATTAATTCCACCATGAATTTATTGCTCTTTAAGTGAAATCTGTTTAGTGGAAAATTCATTGTTAGATCGTGTAATCGTCGCGAAAAAAAGATTTGTCGTCGAATTTGGACGTTGAAAACCTGCTATCTCACATTAGAAGCCTATCTCATAATAGGGAATTTTTCCTCTACCAAACGCCGCGATGTGCATAATATCGCGGGTGCAAGCACCGAACGGTTAACCGACGATATTTCGCGAGACATGTAATTCGCGCTGCTCTTGCGACGATTAAACGGCCTAGCGCCGTGCACGCAATTATATCGGGCGAAATCTCGCGAGCAGAGTGGGGCGCTTTAATCCGTCAAATAGCGCGGTAATTGCACCGAAATATCCGAGAGCGAGTGGTAAGAGCACGCGCAGGCACGTACGCAATGCGCCCGGGAACGCGAGGGCCTGAGATTTCCTCTGTCTCTTCCGGCTTACCCCGGCTTTCCCCCGCGCTCTGTCCCGCAAACGTATGTACCCGGTGCATATAATGCGATTTAACAGTCACTGTTTGTAGCAGTATAAGACGCCCACTCCACAGAAAATGATTAATGAATCATCGGAAGGAGCTCGACCGAGCTACGGTACAAATTGCGCGCTTGCTTTAATCCCAAGGCGATGAAACCGATGAAATGTCCACAAACGTCGGCGTTTGTCAAAATCACGGATCTTGCGTCTTATACATTTTTTCTTCCCCTTTCAGAGAGGATTTCTGATAACAAGACGAAACATATTGACATATTTAAATCACAATCACTTATGCGGTAAACAAATAAAATGATACCAAGATTAGATCAATAATTCCTATCTCCTCCTCTATCGAATCAAATAAGATTGACTTACTATTTTGAGAGATGCTGGAGTGATTCTACACTTTGTGCGCCTTTTGCTCCTAAAACTGTCAATTCATGAAAATATTAGTGTAACATACAAAGAATGTGGCATTTATACTTGAGTGAATAGATTTCTTGTCAGGCTTCTAAACTTACAATTAGTTTTAATAGCACCATGCTGTTCTCTGATTTAGCCCGGATAGTAGGACACGTTCGATTTGTACGCATAAGCCTTATAATTTGTGTATTCCACAAATGTTTTCACGAATTGACAGCTCCAGATGCAAAAAGTGCGAAAGGTGCAGAATCACTCCAGCATCCCTTAAGCGTTTAGACTAAATTTTCTCTCGATGTGTTAACGCACGCGCCAACATTATTTTACTCCAGATTTAAGAATTTTCCATTTAAGATTCCTTTCTCGGTAAAAAGTTGTGGTTCCCTTTCTCTTTCCAACTCTACTACAAAATGAAAAATGCGAACTTTACGGTATGCCTCAATAAAGTTAGTATCAATAAAGTAAGTATCAACAATTTTCAATTTTTCAATATTGCACTACATACACCTTACGCATAATTTCGATAAAGTCAAAGGTACGCAATATTAGTAATGTTACAAGAGAACTTGTAAAGAGATAAATGGTAATTAGAACGAAGCGAATTTCTCTTTGTTTTCTATCGGAAAAAGTCACTTGGCCATTTTGCAATTAGGATCGAAATGTCACCTCACCGACGCGTAGAAAAGCGCTCTTCGATCACTCATAGGGATAGGGATTAAATTCGAAACTTCCTCGTCAAAGGAGACCTCCCGGCTGTAATCAACATCCCCTGTGTCAGACGCAGGTGTCTTTGCCGGTTTTGTTATAATCGATCCCCGATGTTAGAGATTTGCACTCGAGCCTCGTTAAAAGTCGAAGTTCACGATTAAATTGTACCCGCCACATAGGGCTACGTGTCTTATCCGACGCAGGTGCTCGCAGCACTTTGTGGTAAGCATTCTCGCGAAATTCGATATATTCGGAGGGAAAACGATACACACAACGAAATAAATTTAATTCTCCCGTGCGCGCTGGAGAAACGAAATTCCATCGTATCGCCGCGTATTGCTATTAAAATTTCGAAAACGAGTACAGTTGGAATCCTTCTCACGTTTCTCGCTTTGAAGGGACAGCTTTTCGAGCGCTCGAATCGAATCGATTCCGCGGCGATGCGACGTACAAAATGAGGAGTGCAATTTCGAGAAATGTAAACAGAAACAGGACTCTATATATGCTCGCTCGTGAGATTTCCATCTCACGTGTGTCACCGCAATAACGATGAAAGGGGAAGACCGAGCAATACAGCGAAGGACCATCGACGAGGGAGGGAGCGAGCCCTCGAGGGGAACCGCGCTGAAATAACCGAGCTCGGTTGCGGTCGACGTCCTTTCTTATTTAATTTCCTCGCGAATCAAGGATTGTCCTCCCCTTAACCGCGCTGACAGACTAATTTCGCGTGAGTTTCCTTTACCGCGACGGCCACCACTTTTCGTGCAATTCGAGCGACAATCCATTGATCGCAATAACGGGGGCCGCCGATCTTAACGCGAGAAAGCGTCATTCTCCTGGCGTTTGACCGATAATTAGTTCATAGCTCGCGGTGAACGTACAGCAGGCGTATCGCGCAAAATGAAGCAACGTTACACGATATCGCGCGCAATTGGCGACCTAATTACCGATGCCGTTCACGAGGTGCTAAAAGTAACGACCAGCCGGCGAGTCGCGGATACGGCGGGAGAAAGAAATCGTGGGCGTAAAGAAATGCATTTACCGCGACGTGGTAGTGTGCTTCATCGATTTGGGTCGTTTACGTCACGTAGAAGAGACGGGTAAAAACGCAGACAGATAGGTATCGATGCTAAAGTAAGTCGTCAAGCTTTATCGACGGCAAGTTTTATCCACTGACGAGTCGGGAGTCGATATTTCCTTTGGGAAGATCCGATCGAGCAGTATCTTTTTCTACTTGATCATTGACGTTGGATAATTTTGCAACTATCTTTAGGGCCGGTTTTTCCAAACTATTCTCAGGCAAAAGTGAACGTAAATTGTGATAGAGATTTCGTGTAAAAAAAAAACGCCAGCAGAATTAGAAAACTGAATATCCGGAGAATTCTTGAAGAATCAGCCACAATCAGTGCGTCTTGAGGTATTCCTCAAAGGTTCATTATCGTGCACTGAAAAAAATTTCTGGTTGAATATGGACGAATCAGATAATTCCTTTAGGATTGACCAGAATTCCTTTAGGATTTACCAGAATTTCTGTAGGATTACAGGAATTCTGGTAAATCCTAAAGGAATTCTGGTAAATCCTAAAGGAATTATCTGATTCAACCAGAAATTTTTTTCAGTGTGCATGTAACTTCCCCAATCATTCTTATTGTATTCTTCTTTGAATTCTTGAAGAATTGCAATTCAGAAAAGGAGAAAACTTGAAGAATACTTTGCGGATTCACTGCGAATTCACTATCTTGGTAAGCTAACTAATAGTTAGGAGATAACATGTGGTAAGCTAACTAATAGTAGGAGATAACACGGGTGATTAGTATTGATAGAGTCCTCGGTTCGATCCCGGCCCTCGTTCTGCATATTTTCTCGTTAAGGGGATGCTGCAGTGATTCTGCACTTTTTGCACATGTCGCTCCTAAAACTGTCAATTCGTGAAAATATCTGTGTAATAGCTACAAATTGTGTGGCTTTTATGTATAGACCGACAATGTTCCACTGATCGGACTAAATCAGAGAACAGCATGGTATCATTGAAATTAAGTTTAGAAGCTAAACAAAAAATCTATTAACTTGAATAAATTATTTGAGTGAATTACAGATTTCTTGTTAGTTTATTGCTTTACACAACACAAAATTTTTCGCTGTATAAATTATTTTGTATACGTTAAGCAACCTTTGTGTACGATAATCTCCGATTCTTACATTTTGAAGTAGAAAGATTTTAAACAAAAGATAAATCTGGGTAGCAAAGAATAATGACTTTTTTCTTTACGGAATAGCGATTGTCAGTTGTAAGGTTAATATTTAAGATACAACGTTAGGTAATTTAATCATTATCTTTTAAGGAGAATTTTGTTAAAACATGGTTCATTTAATGTTATAAAAAGTAACACTTTTATTATTTATTTTCCTTTTATTGTTTTAATTCGTTTTTCGAAGAGATCTCAACATCTTACAATTAGCATTTTCGTTAAAGGAGATTCGAAAAAATCTATTTTAAATTCATCAAAATCCGCTCACACAAAATTTTTTGCTTTACAAATTATTTTGTATACGCTAACCAGACTACGATAATCTCCGATTTTTACAGTTTGAAGCAAAAAGATTTTGAACAAAAGATAAGTTCGGGTAGCGAGAAACAATGGCATTATTTTTCTTACAGCATAACGATTGACAGGTTTAGGGTTAATATCTACGACACAACGGCCTCGGTAAAGCCGGAAATTGCTCATATAGCCCGCGAACCAAGAGATATATTCGACGTGCACGGTTTAACGCAATCGCGTCTGATATAGG